GGGGGGGGGAGTCAAAATCGGCAAAATTTGCGTGACGTCATTTGTGGATGGCCCCATAATCTTTATTGTTTTGGTCTCTATTTCTGTGGTCCCAACTTAAGCCGTACATTCGTTTCGGCAAAAATATAAATAATAAAACATCATTAGGCCCTAATAATGGTTGACTATTATTTTAATATTTGGATATTTATAATGATTGTTGGTGGCATAATTATAAACTGTTATTGTAATCTTAAGATGTAATGAGAAATTATTGTTGAGATGGAACAAAGACGTTACTTGAATATAGAAGCTACTATTGCTATAGCGTGGTTGTGATACAAATGTGCATATGTCAGGCTTTAATAATTTAAGTTTAATCCTGGCGGTCCCCGGTTATTAGTGTTTAGTTATGAAAAGACAACCAACAACTCTTTTGTCGTTAGTGAAAATAGTTGGTAAGAAGTTATCTCATCCTAGTTGAACATTGAAAAATGACAGACTTGAAATCGATTCTATATTTATAAACATGCGATACTTCAAGAGCTTGCAATTTAAGTCAAGGTGCTACTCCTACGGAACTCACACTGAAATCAACTTTAATTAGCCCTTTAATTTGGTTTTATTGCCTAACTTCAAAGGTTGATGAATAGTTCAAAGTATCAAAATGAAGCAAAACAACTTCTTACGATCTTAGAAACTATTATAGGCCTATCTATTATAAAGATATATCAAATGTAATACTTGTAAGGCCTACATAGGTCTAGCCCAGTGGCGTAGCTAGGGTTGGTGTCACCCGGTGCGGTAAACTCATGGTGTCACCTCCCCCCACACACACAAACTTCTATGATCGATTTTTTCTTGTTAAAATAAGTCCACAGTATAGCATCAACCTTGAACTTTTAATAAATCACGCATTTGGATTGGTTACATTTGTGAAAAATATATGTGTGATCGGTTATTCTTTTATGAATCTCGGTTTTTGCGAGCAATGTGTGCCCTGTAAATATGCAATTTTTCAATGGGGTGTCACCCCTAAAATGGTGTCACCCGGTGCGGTCCGCACCCCCCGCACCTGCCTCGCTACGCCACTGGTCTAGCTATAATAGAACACAATTTCAATTTGAAGTTTTACACTAATTTACAGTAAAATATATATATATATATATATATATATATATATATATTTGGAATTTTTACTCATCTAAGATGATATTTATTATTTTAATAATAATAGAAAATTAAAAATTACTATTATTATTATTTGTTTTTACTGGAGAAAGTTAAAACTACTTTCATGTTTGCAAAATCCCATAGTCCTAATAGTAATAGGCATATTGCTAGATACATGATTTTACATACACAATAGGCCTTTTAGTAACAGTAATTTGAAAGTAGGGCTATTAATTTTGTTTATATAAAGTAACCTTATCTCAAAGAAGAAATTAAAACTTAAAAATAGTAAATCACTCTTTTTCGTTGCACTTAAAAAATATTTTTGTTATTATTGAATTATACTTATTTTTTAACATATGAATTGCCGTATTTTAAATATTTCACAAGTTCACTGTGGTTCCTTTGGATCGAATATATTTAAAATAAATAGTGGGATGATTACTGAGTTGTGATATCGAAATGCTGCCGTCCCTACCAACAATTCCTTGCGCGCCACGTCCTCAGTAGATTGTACGAACGTGGAAGTTACTAAATTGTGAAAATGAATATTTTTCGGCTTGTTGGGGATATGTCCCATCTCTTAGCAATAGTTTTACTATTGCTGAAGATGTGGAAAACAAGATCTTGCGCCGGTAAGCTTGTTTAAAGTCTGGGTTTTAAATTATTATTGTGGGAGGATTTTAATTGTTTATGTTCGTTGCGACGTTCCGTACGATTGAATCATTCATCATATTCATAACACTACTACTACTAGGCATTGGATAGCCTGAATGAATACAGATACGGTGGAAAAGCCTACCGTTATCAACTAGCGTCATCAAATATGAGCGTTTCGGTGCATACTGCAACTGCGGACTAACGTATTGGCCCAATTCGTAAATCCAGCCACCCTCCCTGAGTGATTACCCCTCCCACACACACACACATGCACTCTACTTATATTATACTACCAATACCATGAAATGCAGTGCACTGGGGAGTTTTCTATTTTACATTTGCCCTAAATCTGATAAAATTTCTTTGACTCATTGGGGACATGCAAGTGCTTATATTATATGAATAGACCTATACTATGATTAAGTTTGAGAAGTAAGTAAGCCTAAAACTAAAATCTAAAACTAAAAATGTGTTTACAACACTTCACAATATCATATATTAATATTGCTACCTCACAATGACTGGGACCAACTATACTTAGTAATACTATAGGCCTAGTATATAAATTCTAATTATTTTAGCTCAATATTGTAGATACTTTGTTCAAAAATTTAAACATTTTGTAAAAATAAACCAATGGCATAGTTGAATAGAGCTAAATTTGTACAGAATTATAACACCAAAATTATATTTTTAGCTGTTGTAGTTTTAAAGTTATGAATTTTTAAAGTACGACTTGGTTTGTCCTTTTTTAACATGGACTGCATCTCCACATTCTGTGACCTCATTCCGCCGATCACGTCATGCGCAATGACTATATAGTTTATATAAGGCTAAGGCATTCCCTTATCACTAAAATACTGTTTAGGGTCGATTTATTTTAAACTTTCAACTTTGGCACATGAATAATTAATTAAAGCTTTCATTGACCAATGGTTTAATAGTTTTTGCACACGGCAAACACTTATGAATGAAACTCTGAGATAGTACTACGATATAGCCGTTATGCAAGTGGCTGTGAATGGTTGCCAATGACAACGTGTTGCACACGGAAATAGTACTACGATATAGCCGTTATGCAAGTGGCTGTGAATGGTTGCCAATGACAACGTGTTGCACACGGAAATTTCTGATCATTTATAATATGGACTCTACAGGGTTTTTAAAGCTCAAATTAAAACGTTCCAGTTTAAATGTCTTCAAAATGCATTCTGAAACACAAGTTATCAAATATTTTGATGTATATAGTGGTAATAATTAAATATTTCTTAAGTATCGGCAACTTCCGCCATTAAAAAGGGGGCGTGGCCCATGCCATGTCGAAATAAGGCTGAGCCCCCTTATGGTGATATGGGTCACTGGGAGAAGCGTAGCGAACGTGGGACACGACCTACATCAATGAGAATTGGCACAGATATATATCAATATCTAATGCCTTACACGATTTAATATGAAAGACCTGTTCCTTTTATTTCACAAAAAATTTTGTATTTGAAGATGCCTTATATATACCAAAGATTTTCAAAATGAAGTTCGATTGAAAAAAGCAAAATAGTTGGATGGAAATGTAGGTCAAGATGTCTTCCAAATTATAAGGCCGGAAACGGAACTCAAATATATGTCCAAATAACTAATTTAATAATAAATAGACACACACATCTGAAAATTAAAAACTCGGATTTTTCGGCGCCGACGCCCATTTCCGATACAAAAAAAGTAGTAGTCTGCCTTGTTTTATCGAAGTATCTACAATATTGTAGGCAAATGTTTGAACATTCACTATCACATGTCCACAACCTCATAAACATACAAAAATAATCTCCAAAACATACTAATACTACATAGCTTACCCCATTTCCATTAATTTTAGAAATGCTAAATGTGAAACAATTTTAAGTGAATAACATACATGTCATATCTGCTGGGCTCTCACACAGTTGTCACACTGAATTTATTAGTTGAAAAGTGAATTGAAAGCTAAGCTAATCAAATTTTAGGAATTAGGTGACCGCCTAACAAGTGTTGGTTTTTTATAAATTTAATACACTAATTTTTGTGAGGTTGTGTCGTGGTTGTTGAAACAGGTAAAAGTTCTGATGTAGCCATTGCAATCTGTCAGTGCAAAACCCATAACATTATAATTAGGTATCTGTTTTGAACATTGAAGTCCGGCGACCGGATGAATAAGTTCTCGAGATATTTGCCGGCGACCAGGTCACATGACCGCCGTAACAAAGTTGGGCGAGATATCTGTCCAGCAGCCTTGTCATGTGACTACTAATAGTCAATCATAAAATTGGCGTCAGTGATGCATGGGGGTGACGAGTATACACTTCATTTCAAGAAATAAGTGGGGGGAGGGGGTGAAGCAATGCATACTAAAAGTAAAAGGTACTGAGAGTAAGAGAGAAAGGATAAAAATGATAGGGAAGGTGATTAATAATTAAGGCCGGGAGGTCGAAAGTTCACAAAGAAAATAGACCCTACATCTTAATATAGGGCCAATATAGTGTGCTGTTGGGGTAGCCTTCTAACTCACGCAATATTAATTACCTAAAATAAGCCTTTTTTTACTGTAGGACTATTGACAGTTTACTGGCAAGTATTGGTCTTATTTTCTTGGGTTGATATTTTAAATTTATGCTACTAGGTCGAGTTTTATAAGATATTTAAACCAAGATAACGGAATTATTTTTTTTAAAATTTTGCCAGCGACCTCTTGTCTCATGACATGTCTGCCGGAATAATAACACATACCAGTCGTCCGGCTGTCATGTAACATGCCCACCGGAAGAATATCTCCTGCACTATCTGTCCGGTCACCGGACGTGTAGACACTGCCTAAGAACATAGTAAAAATGAAAACATTAGGGCTATAAGCCAGTATAAAAGTATAGCCCAATTAATTTAGTCCTACAGTCTAAGTAAAGAACATTGACTGATAGCATTATGTGTAGGCATGGTCATATTTGTATATGAAGTTTAGCTTTGTTGTTGTTTGCTAATTTGACCACCATTCTGCATACTGCCTTTGATGTTGAACATATTTGTTTTAATAAAATAAAATTGTTTTAAAACAATAATTTAGTATTTTATTTGTATATGTGCTACCATAAAGAATTGTTTCCAAGTTAAAAAATATTTTTATATTTATATGAATATGGTAATTTTTACCCCACCTCCAACGTATGCATTCTCAACTTACACCAACAATGCCAGAACCACTTATGGCTTAACCTCTGGGTATTACTTGGATTTACTTCCCTTTTTAACTGGAACACCGGGCTAGCTAACCAGGATAAGCATCACTTGTGGGTGACACCTAATAAAGAAATTTATAAAAAGCCTTGCTTTTTGAAGGGTGTTTTTAAAAAAAAAATATTATTCTGGTCTCAGTTTGCACCAAGGATAAATAAATATGTAAAATTTAGGAACTAAGTAATAACACACAAACTGCATTTGACAAAAATATTATTAAGCTTGATTTGAATGACTAACTAGTATTTCATCAAATTACCTACTGGATTTCTATGTAATATTATATTAAATGCACTTGGCAAAAGAAAAAATTTAGTCCAGGAGTTAATTGCAATATTTTTTTTTTTGTGCAGGTATTTCTGGTAAAAGTCAGATTCTTTTTGCAATGGTTTTTGCTTCCCGTTACTTGGATCTGTTTACAACATTCATTTCCCTCTACAATTCAACTATGAAGATATTTTTTATCTCAACCTCCTTGCTTACTGTATATCTCATGTACTTCAAGTTTCGGGCTACTTATGATGCAAACCATGATACTTTCCGCATGGAATTCCTTGTAGTTCCTGTAGGGGGCTTGGCTTTCTTGGTAAACCATGAGTTTAGTCCATTGGAGGTTAGTATTGCCTTAACAACTTTTTTTTTTCTTCTGTATGGAAACATTTTATTTAAAATAGAGCTATTATGATTAAAATTCTAGTTATTGTGGTTTTCATTAAAATAAATTTACGAATCATTTTTCATAAGATTGATATTTTTACACCATAGTTGGTTCATAGTTATTATTTGCTAAAGATTAAGGCAGTCCCTGTTTTGTCTTTCTGTGCCTATTTTCTGGTGTCTGGCTTGTAATGTTTTTAATAAAATTTTATTCATTGATATTTGCTTTTTATTATTAAAATTTTTATTGTCTCATGTGCAGATTCTCTGGACATTCTCTATTTACCTCGAGTCTGTAGCTATTTTACCACAGCTGTTTATGATGAGCAAGACTGGTGAGGCTGAAACAATAACCTCTCACTACTTGTTTGCATTGGGTAAGAAAATTATTATGAATTATTTTCATTTGTTGGAATTAAATGCAATTTAAACCTCACCATATACATTATTCTAAGTTTCTCACATCTGGGGCCATACTCCAAAATATTGGCTTGAAATTTTGTTTTTAATATGTCAGAATTACACTTAAGTATTTGGAAATCCACTTTCCAAAAAGGTGAAGGCCCATTGCAACGTCAAATTTTCTCTCCACAAATCTGCCATCTCTAAATGGTCAATGGGAATCTAGCATAGGAATAGAAGACATCTTTTAGTTATTAAAACAAGACTAAGAAGTTACATGTAAGTAAAAAATGTGACATGGATATTTTGCATCAATGAAAATAATTATTTATTAATCACCAGGTTCCTATCGAGCACTCTACATTCTGAATTGGATTTACCGCTACTATTTTGAAGGTTTCTTTGATTTGATAGCTGTAGTAGCAGGCTGTGTCCAGACCATTCTCTACTGTGACTTTTTCTACTTGTACATCACTAAAGGTAATTATCATTTTCTCTATCTTGTTGTACTGATAAAAGTGGGTCTATTTGTCAAGTGTTCTGATCTGGAACTTGACATGAGAAATTTATTTTTTGTTAGCTTTTATGATAATATGTGTTATATGTGTATAAAGATTTAGGTCTTTCTTTCTCAAAGTTAAGCTGATCATTATTTTTATTTGATAAGATTATTTTTACCTTCAACTTCAAGTATTCTGTTTGAAAGCTAAAATCACATTAGGAGATAAACACTGTCATTGTGTTGTGCACATCAAATGAAAGTTCATATAGTTACATAAAATAAAATATTGTTTTATAATGTACAGTTAATATTTGCACTAAAATAAATTCTTAGAGATAAGGACCTAAATCTTTATTTAGGTTTCGGCAAAGAAACTAGGTAAGTTGTGTCCCTCAAAGAAAAGTGAATTGGTTCACCAACTTAATTCATTTAGATCATTGCCTTTTCCTTTACCTTGAAAAACACATTTGTGTCAAATGATTTAGGAAAATGATTTCTTGGGTACATAATTTATCGACCAATACAAATAACAATATAGTTATCGGAATGATTTTAAGAACTATAGTTAATTTATTAGGTTTTTCTAATGAAGGCTGTGAACTACAAATGGACCAGCATTAATTTTATTTGTAGTCTGAAATTTCCTTCTCATTATAGAACCCATTATCTTATGGAACTATTAGAAACTAAATTTGAATTTGTAAAAGTGAAATGCCAAAACTGCATGATATTAAGAAGTTTAAGTATTATTTGAAAATGCCTTAGATTTACAACAGACAAGCTTTTAAATAATGATGTCTGCAAATTATGCTATATGTCTCTTTATAAAAACTTGCTAACTGCATATAAAATATTACACAAATGTTTGCAATATTGCATTGAAAATCTCAGCTCAATAAATTTTACTTAAACAAGTGTTGTTTTTTTTTTGCTTGAAACCTTGTTAATTTTTAAGAAAAATATGTTTTCAAGAATGGCATGGTTTAATAAAAACACTGAGATTTATTGGTTTCCTTAGTACTAAGACCTTGGAATGAATAACGATTTAAATATCAGATAATGTTCCAATTTATTTAAACCAGTAATTGTGTCTTAAACATTGATAACTATTAATTTATTCATGATGCATGGGAATTTGAAAATTCACTAATGTTAACAGCACGTGGATAAACCGTACAAGTTGTTTGTTATTTTAAAAAAAGGGTATAGATTCAGAATACCGCATCAATGAAATAGGTGGTGAAATTATTTTTGTTCTTAAATTTTCAAGATTCACCCTATTTCGTTTTTTTTTCTTCTATTATTTATCATTTCTATGTCAACAAGTTGTCAGATGAGTCTAAAAGTCCAGACCCATGCTCTTACTTTAGATATGAATTTGTGGGAGTTACATAAAGCTCGCTAATGAGCTTGAGTCTTGCATGTGTTAACCCTTTTTATTTTCTACAAGATTTAGCTGTCTCCTGTTCATTGTTCTAAGTATTTTTTATTCCCTGCTACTTTCAGTTTTGGTGAATGGCAGGCAATCATTTTAACCATTTTTGGTCTACTTGCCATATTTTTTAACAAATGTAGTTCATAATAAAGGTTTTCTTTTTTTAAGCATTAAGTTATACCCGCGTATAAGTTTAAAATCTTAATTTGATATCTATGGTATGTAGGAAATCACATACTTGCTGTGTTCTCACTATTAAAATGATATTTTATATAAATCCCATGTAACCATTGAAAGAATATTAATATTTCTGGTTGATTTATGTATATTCCATTTGTTCTATTTTTAGTATTGAAAGGAAAGAAGCTCAGCTTACCGGCATAAACATTGTGTGAACAAGTTCAAGATTCTGCTACTGCCATCTCGTCACAGATGTGTATGAAAGGTTTCAGGCCCATTTGAGTCAATCTGTATCTTATGGAACAGAACACTTGTTGGCAAAGGGATTTTAAGTTGTCTTTTCATTTAGATATTTTTTTTAAATCTGAGAGGTGTGGTGTATATAATTTTAGTGCTTACATTCATTTTAAGTCTCTTCAGCTCTAAGTCACTTTTACTATGAGGAATATATCATAGCCTTCTCAACCTTTTAATCAAACATTAAGTTGTTCTTTTAAGAAAAATGAAAATGTCAGTATGGTATTCTAAGAAACAGCAAAACAGTTTTAATTGATCAAGTTTAAAAAAAATATTTGGGTGCTTTTCAAGCTTGGCTTTCTGTTAAAGGTTGAGACTTTGAACAATGTAATACTGAGGTTGTATTTTATAGAGTGTTTTCAGTATTTTGATGTGACCAAGTATTCACTTCTTTTTCAATCAGCTTCTCATTATTTTCCTAAATGGTGATGCAAATCTACTCTTTGAATTTCAGCCGTTTAAGTTCCAGTCATTTGCTAGGACATACAATAGTGTGCTATGAAAATGGTGTGAGAAAGATTCATGCATGCATGATGTGTATTTGTTTATCTTCTCATTTTGCTGGGAATAACCTTTTTCTCTTCAAATTTCTTGCAAGCAATGATGAAAGCATGCTTCAATTTGCAGGTAAAGCTGGGAGCAACTTCTTTTTTACATTATAATTATAAGTTAACTTGTAACAAGTCCTGCGTTTGTGAATATTAGCAATTATCATTAAAATACTGTATTCATCGAATTTTCCTTACTTTTTTCTTGTTTTGCTTTCTAAATATTTGGTGTACTTATACTTAATGGGTTCTTTTTAATACTTATTATTAAAGAAACTTGTTCTGACTTGCATATATATTAGCAGGTTAATTAAAAACGTTCTTCAGGTGCTAGGATGATTTGGTCAAAAGGAGAAATTAAGTGGCATTCTATACTGTGTGTAGAGTTATCTTGCAAGAGAGAGAAAATACTAAATGCCTACTTACCTTTGCCATTATGGTTTACAATGGTGCAAAAACTTAATCTTCAGAAAAGAAAAAACAAACATTTTGAAAGCTAAAGAAAGTAATTCATTTTTCTATAATTAGACCAGAAAAATTACATGTGATGCTGATTTTTACCACATCAATGATAACACAATTATAACAACTCGGATGTTATGTTTTCACACAGTACTTTAACTATTAGTATCAAACTAAGTCACTTTTAGTACCTCAACCACATACAATAGAATGTTGGTTTAGGGTGTGTTAACCATTTGTGTTGCAGTCTTGCCCGAAAATGTGAATTTGTGCATGTGTCTAAAGCATGATTTTTTTATAAGTGTTGAAGCTGTGAGTTTATGCCAATTATGTTTTATTTTCAAACTTATTTTTAGCTTGAATGATTGATAGCATCAGCCAAATTGAGTTCCTTATTTTTGGCAGAAATTGACTGGAAGTATACTGCAAACTTAAGTAATTGCATTAATATACACCATTAATTCCCTTTAATTATATTGAAATTCACCAGTGACAGAAAAAAATATCACATGTTTAAAGATTCATGAAACAAAGTGTTTGTGATCAGTTGCCGAATAAAAAAGAAAATGGTCATGAATATGGGCAATTTAATTTTCATGTAAAATTCTTTTTACCATTGCACATGTTGTTTTTTTTAATTGAGTTTTTGTGCGTTTTTTATGTGAGTTAATATTTATTTATATTAGATAGTTGTTTCCTCTTCCACTTTTACATTTGGTTTCTACTTCAATTTCTATGTGACATATGTTTCATTTTGTACATCTCTGGTGACATGAATAGAATATCTATCATATCAAATATAAGTGTTTTATGAACCATCAGCATCTTATTCTTATTAGAGTAAGTCAAACATTTGAAGTTACTTTATTTTAGGAGATATAAATTTAAGAATGCCTTGAGTTCCTTAGTTTGTATGAGTTTGCTAGTATTGTGTTGCATTTGCCAGCTGTAAACCTGAGTAATTCTCAAGTTAACTGTATTTAGTGAAGTTCTGCTTTGCCTGCCTGTCAAAATCCACATCAAAGATGCATGTCAAATTCTGGCATGACTCTGGTTTTAACATTCACTTCAAATCTTTATATCTGTGGCTAACAAGGCAGTCGGTAATTGTACATACAGTCATTCTATCTGTAGCATAAAGTCTCAAAGAATGAATGCTGCATGTCCGGCTCAAGTCAGTGAGTGCATGCATTTTGATGTCTTAGATGATGACATGTGGCGTTAGTTATAAATATTGAAATTACATTGTTACATGCTGTATGATTAAACATATTAATATTTATATTTCAAATTTCATTTTCTTACTTTTTAGTTTCTGTATAATTGACTAACAAATATGTGTTTTTTTCATAGCTTTAACGAGGGATTGGCTTTGGGCTATGTTACTACAATGAACAATTAAGAAGTTTCACTAACATTTATTAACTTAACTTTAAAAAAGTTTTTGAAACAGCTACAATAGCTTATGGGAATACTCTTCTTAAACTTATTGAAAGTGACTATATTTTTCACCCTATTGTACATTTCTTTTACAATAAATTCTAAGACTTAAAATTAACAGTTATGAAATAAATGTAAGGCACAATGAAAAAAAGATCCTATTTCTTTTAAATATTTTATTCTTTATAGAAGAAATTACAACCTTGTAAATAATGATTTTAAATATATTTTTCTGAGAAAGAGGAATATCAAAAGATATGGATAAAACTAAATGGTATGAACATGTTTTGAATCAATAAGAACAATATCTGTAATGAGAGATCCATAATCACTTAAAAGATGTACCTGTACGATATATAAATATATATTATATCTAATCATTACAATCACATTTTATTGACAATTTAATTGACAAGAACGTAGCCTTTTCCTAAAAATTTGAACTCATAGTTTCCATTACAGGCACATAAGACAGGCCCCATATTTTGAGGTGGAAAAAGTGTGTCCTAAACTCTTGAAAATGCATTACTTCTGTCAATTAAATGTACAAAAAAGCTACATTAAACATTGACATCAACATTAAATTCACTTTGTTCTTGAAATAATTTAACTATTTACATTCTCTAAACAAAACAATGGGATATGAATTCAGTCATTCACTATTCCTATTCCAACAAAAAACTTTTAAATATTTTTCATCAACAAAAAAGAAGGAAAACGTTACTGTGTATAGTATAAAAGAATTGATTCTTATCTTCAACAAGAACTTGGTTTGATTACTGTGAAACTCAACACTTCTCTTTGCCCACCTGCTCATTTAAATATTTGCAAGGTGAGCCAAACAAGTTTACTCGAAATTTAGACACCACAAATACTTCAGAATTAATTAATAGCATTTAAATCCCCAAGAAATAAATATATAATCTATGAGATGCTATTCCTATAATTAATACTGAAACATTTGAATTAGGCTACCGTATAGAATTGAAATTAACTTAAAAAAATACTTAAAATTGGCATCACATCAGTTACACTGAGCCATTTTTAAAAAAAAAGCTAACCACTTTAACGAGAACCTAATAGGAATAAGAGCAACATTAAATCATAATAGGACTGCCAGGTCTGACATTTGTTCCATTAATCTTTTAATATTTTCCCCCCTGGATTTTAATGGGTTAAAAAATGATTTGTTAAAATAATTTTTAGGTGGGTATTTATGGGAAATTATTTATGATGTTGCTATGTATATAATTTGGTTTGTGAGTCGTAAATGACAGTTTTAGTTAGTGTTCTGATCTTCCAATGGTGTCCTAAGGCTTTGAGTGAGCAATCCAACAATTTCTGTAATAGCTGATGGTGACTGTTGAATACAACAAAGTTCAAAGGGTGATTAAATGTCATGGTGAAGAGTTTCTACATTTTAAACTTACCACTACAGATCAGATGAAACAAAGTTTATAAAAAATGTAACAAACAAAAAATGTATGTTTGTTTTTTAAAATAAACATGTCTGGTGCATTCCTCAATTGTGTACACACAATGATGTAATGACTAAAAAGCACCTTACAATTAATTCCTTTATGTTTGTTATATGTTCTCTCCCTGACCAGACAGTTATGGTTCTTAGTTCTGGCACCGATTTAAAGTCCAAATTTCTATTCCCAGTCATCCATCTATAATACAGGTACCTGTATCTGTGTGTCTCTATGTCTTGTATGTATCAACCCTTCATTCATTGTGTTCTCATTCACAATGACTGTGTATGGTATACCAAGCTGATCATTTCTGAAACAAAAATCATGTTGACACTTCAATCAACTTGCAAACTAAATCAATTGAAACAGTGGATTTTAAAAAAAAAATTAAAAAATACTAAAATATTGAAATAAATAATCAAAAGGTCTATTTTCATTGTTGACATAATTAAGTTTTAAAAATATGTCTTAATTTTTTTTCTTCTTCTTTTAACAAGGTAAATATTTCAAATAATGTCTGAAAGACTGAAGGATAATTCTAATGTTTTACACCATGTGACCATTTTACAAGGTTTGAAGAATTTTGTTCCCAAAATATCCCACATCCTGTTTTTTTTGTGGCCAGGGCTAGAAGTAATAAAGTCTGTGCTGTTGTGAAAATAAAACTATAATGATATTTGTAAAAGTACAAAAAAATAAATATCAACATATCTACTAGGTGGACATTTAAACTAAAATAATTTCTAGGAATATAAAGTCATTCGGTACCGTACTATAAAATGTGATGTCAAGTGCATTTCATTTAAAATATATTACCTTCTGAAATGGGCCTCTGGTGAGCTTCCATGTTCAGATGTGTTGAAACAAGTAACCCCTGCAGCTTTAAATTCTCTTTCCAGATGACTGCAAACATGATGCATTTCATGAGATGGTGCCTTGGAGGCTGAGTTAATCGCTATGGCAACTTGAAAGGGTGCTATTTGTGGGTGAAGTTTTAGAACCTGAGGGGTACATCATGTTCATTATTTACAGACATCTCTCAGCTTCTTTAAGTAGAATAAATGGTAAAAAAAAGTGTCCGACTTTAAATTGTGTTACGGTTAAAAATATTTTGCTTTTTGCCAACAATACTTGGAAATAGCAAACGATAAGTAAAAAATAAGGCTTAAAATAAACCATCAGAAGCTTTTAAGTTCAATATACAAAAGCTGTCTGGCTGTATTGAATTTTCTTTTTATTACACATGGTGCATATTTAAAAAACAACTACTGAACTTAAATAAACAATTTAAAACGTCTCAAACACAGTCATGATAATTCTTTGTAATGATTTATCATATTGTGCAAGCGACAGAGCTTTCTTATGATACCGTAATGATAAAGTGTGGTAAAAACCATCTTTCCTTGTACATTAATCTTAATTCAGAAGTGTTTTTCTTTAACGGAAAGGAATAAAAACATTGGCAACATGTGGCCCATATTAAATCAATAGCCATAAATATTTACCATATTGTGTTTTCTGTCAGCTGTTTTGCTGGTTGGTCGTTCATAATAGCTATCTACCAGCCAGGCAGCCGTTGCAGCTTCTATACTTGTCTCGCACTCAATACAATGTGGTAGACAGGCTGTCTTCCCAAACATCTGTCCCTGAGACAATATAACACATGACTTAATAAATTCATGGGTCAAATTTAATCTTCTCTTGAGTAATGAAATATGAATGGCAGAATATAGATGTATTATTCCAGTTTTTTTTAATTAGGCCTTGGCATTGACAGTAATTAAAACAAACAAAAGTGATACTATTATAAAAATAATGTGAAAGGTACATATTTGCAACTGGTGTATTCAATTTACCATGTATTTTTCCAATTCATCATTTTGAAGATCCCTGAATACTTTGTCTCCAACATTTTTCACTTCTTCAACCACTTCAGGACCCCATGGAAATTGGTAAGCAATGGCCCTATAAGTCTGATTATTGTGACCACTGGTCGCATGGCCAGGTGGTGGGTGGATGTCATTTAATGTTTTTGATGTTACTGAAAAGTTTCCTGGAATATTTGAAAACTGCAAAAACATGAAGAGAGCTCTCACATTGGATGAACGTCTAGGAGAACTTGATCACATTAGAACAGCGGTTCTCAACCTGTGGGTCGCGACCCCTTTGGGGGTCGCGGGACCCTTTTCCAGGGGTCGCCTAAGACCATCTGAAAACACATATCCTTACAGCTATGAAGTAGCAACGAAAATAATTGTGTGGCTGGGGGTCGCCACAACACGAGAAACTGTGTTAAAGGGTCGTGGCACTAGAAAGGTTGAGAACCACTGCATTAGAATATAAGTATTAGAACCTACATGTAAAATAAACAACCCCTAAAAAAAGATTTTAGAATAAATTCTTTGCATGCTTTTTTTTTGTTTAGCATTTATGTAATTGTACATTTATTAAGAAGCGGTAATGTAAATAAATGGGTAAACTACTGGTGAAAACATGTTTCACATTTCCTTCATTTTTTCCCCTTCAAAAATAAATTATATTTTTACTGCATGCCCATTTACATCTCAAATACAAAGCACATAACAACAGCTACATAATTAACCAACACACCAAAACATGCATACGTTGAACAAATCATTATCATTCCTATCCCCTTGAATGTGTTGCTATCGGCAATGAGTCTATGTGTCTTTCTGCTCGAAAGGATAACAGGAAGTGGGTCATTTAGCTTTCTGAACATTTACGCCACACAGAAACAAAGAAACACATGAACAAAATTTAAGTTAATATAAAGGATTTAAAAAATACATTAACATAAAACAATATAAGCTAATTAAATGTGCTCTTTTCTTCCATTCTTTCTTCATTAAAAAGGAAGACGATCATCTGAATCATCAGCACAAAAAGTTTCTGAACAATGACAAGCATATATGTTACAAACCTCTGTTAAGTTTCTGAGAATTTACCTTTTTCCACCATGATAATCTAAGTTGAACCCAGAAGTCAAGTGTAGTATTTATATTAGAGGGAGATGTGTAGTTCTGCAGCAACAAGCATGTCCTGTTGGATCCCCTGAGGTACAACGAATATTATTACAGTCATCTGGAATGACTAACATGGTATCAAATTAAAATGTTAAATTTGAGTTCCTATGAGACTAGCTATTAATTTAAAGTCATAAATACCAAATTACTACCATGAGACTAGCAATAAATTTATACCAATTTACTCCATGAGACTAGCAATAAATTTATAACAAATTACTACCATGAGACTAGCAATAAATTTAAAGTCATAAAAACCAAATCTCGCATCAAGACAGTTAACATAGATACATGTCCCATTTAAAACATCATTAACATGGACACATATCGAGGGCCATGCAGAGTCAAAGGCAACACACTTAATCAATTAAGGCTCTGCCAGGGTGCCCCCAAGGGCAGATATCGATAAGCTTAATACAATTATTTTGAAATTTGTGAATGCCCCAAATATGGATTTACTCAGGGCGAAAAAATCCTTTGCTCAGCCCTGCACATATCCCATGAAGACACTTATTACCCTTAACATGACATATATCCCACCCAGACCTGTTTTGTTGGCCCTGAAACCACTGTGGCTGCTGGGGGCCTAAGATATTCAAGGGGCCCAAATGTGTGATGTGAAAATAGTTTAAACTTAAACTATCAACTTTGAATGCAGGGGGGCTCAAAACTGAAAAGTGGCAGGGGGCCACCAACAGTTATGTGGTGGCTGTGATCCCATCAAGACGCTTACAATTGTTTACAATTCCATTGTCCATCAAGAAAAATAATTATTTTTGCTTTAAAATAATAAAAAGTTCACTCTAGCCAGTATTAGATAATCATGGGTACCGCTATTACCACTTGGTTTAAGTAAACGTTTTCTATTTAGCAAACAATTTTAAAAGTTGTAACTTAAAAATGAAACAAAAATGTGTTGAGTGAACGAGATAAAGATCATGGACTCACCCAAACAAAAATTGTCTTTCTTGTGGTTGATCACTGTGTATTGCACTGGACAGGATACAGGCGCCAACACTGGCTACTGATATAGGAAGCTTGTTGTTGGTCAATTTCAAAATTTGAAGATATTTTGATATGCAATCTGAAAAGTTAAAAAATAAAATAGAAATGTAATATTCTTTAAATGAAACTGTATTTATTACCATTACTATAATATTTATTTATGTAGCTCTGGTCTGAGTACTTTTAGAACAAAGTGAAAAATTTACAAAGGGAGGGGAAAAAAACATGGAGGACAATCAATGATATATGAAGGAGAAAAGCTTTGAATTAAATGTGAGATGAGTACCAAAAATGAACTTCTTTAAACATACTTTGGTGTTTATTTCACTTATTGTTTGAATGTCAAGAAATGAAGGAGTAGTCGTTTTGAGATATGATTTCTTTTTAAAGGTTTAATATACCAAACATAAATAACAATTTTGACAGCTTTCATCTTTTAAATTTTTGTCTGATTTATTCAACAGCTGCAACTTTGGGGCTGCCACTGGTTGCCTACCCATGCTCCATATGGATGATTTTATATTATGTAATAAAGCTTAAGGAATAAGAACGCATACCTTGTTGTAACGTTTCTCTTAAAAAAATACTGTTTTGAGATCTGTTGTAAATGGAAGCAGAAAAAATAGCTGTTAACTTTATTTCCAAAAATTATTAAAGCCAAGATAAACTTATATATACATATATTTTCAATATAAAATAAACTATAAATTTTAAAAAATTATGAATTAAAAAGTCCTTAATAAAATATTTAAATCACCAAATAGAAATAGTGAAGAATTTAAAAAAAAAATTAATAATAATCACATTGTTTCTTCTTGTCTATGGTTCATTATATTCACTGATTTAAGAGCTGGACTTTCCACAGGAAATACATTCTGCTGCTGGTGAACCATTAGATCCCACCTAAATGATATTTTTAGAATGCTAAGAAGTCAAAGTATGTATAATTAAGAAGTACTTAACTGGTTTAAACACATTAATGTTAACATGAAATAAGTTTTGTTGGTTTCCAATAGAAAATCAAAATTCTAAATGCTGAAAGAGATGATATAAAAGACACAATACAATTGTAAATTACATACCAATGCTTTTGAACATTCTGTCTAAAACGAGAGCCAAGTGGTCCATAGTCAAACATGAAACATTCTTGTCCTTTGTAAATGATTTTAATTAAATCAAAAAATCCTCTGGTTTTAATCAAGTTCACAAAATTTGTACCTGCCATTGTCAACCTAAAGAGAAAAAAACAGAATAGTGATTATAAAATTATCTATCCATGTGATCATTCAGTATACAAGCTAATTATAACACAATACATGTTTTCCAACCTAGGAAAAAAGCTACTAGTTCTCAAAGACACACTTTCAACACTAAGTTAATTCCTGTCGCTGAGTGGTCTAAACCAACTCAATCTCAAGCGTGTGGACTGTAGTTCAATCCCCAACAAAAGCCCAGAAGATCAAAAAACAATACCAACACCACATGAGGATGGAACTAGTTAACCTTGGATAGCAACTCGTCAAGAACAGACAAACTCTGAAATCAAATTTGTAGATGGAGTCCCTTAGGCATTATTACATTGACACAATGAAAATTCTGACAACTCATGTGACATGGATCACATAAAGAGCACAATCAGACACAAGAAACACTGCTGGTCTTCTGCTGCATCCTTGTCTATTTACAGTAACTTGCCTAAGTCTTGCCATTGGAACAAACAGTAAATGATGAGAGAGTGAGGTTGACAAATTCAGCAACTCTGCCTCACTTTAAACAAAATACATCTCAAGCCAAGACTTCTACGCAAGTTGAAGCCTTAGTCATCTTCGCATGCAAAGGGCAAATAAGACTTTTATATCTGTCCCATTAATAAATAAAAAAACCCTCCTCTCGGAAGTGGGCTTTCAGCTATGAATTTGTACCTAGACAGGCTACAAGAAATTATGTCTTCGACTGGATTACCCTAGGAAGGGGTTTTCCTTTTGTTTGCATCTATTCCTACATCACATGGTATCCACTCCACTTATGTTGCTCTTGACTTTAACACCAATGAGGGCTTCCATGCTTCTTTCCACCGTCACTGTCTGGAGTCAAGAGCAGACCTTGACTTTATTCTACCTAGACAAACTCCCAAAAGTGTGCACCCATAACACACACATACATTTTTATGCTGTTGTGTTAGGCCTATATATGTAAAATCTCAAGTGCTGCTTAGGGCAGTTGTCCCCTTGGAAAGTTCATTCCGAGTTCAGTTTGCAAATAAGCAGTGGAATAATTGTTATATTTGCTGTATTATTAGTTTGACAAGTTTACACTGTGATTATTAATTTTCAAACTCAAATGATTTTATTTAGAGTACATATGTGGCCCAACCCTGATCTAAAAATACTAAAATCCATTCTATGAACTTGTTGATTTGGGGGGGGGGGGGTCTATGCCATGAAATATTAATATGAATATGATAATATGGCCATGGAATATGGAATGGCATCATGATGGAATGATCAATGATTGTAATTTCACAGTATTTCAGCAATTTGTATCAATATGGAATTTTATTAATATTAGTATTGTCATAATGAATAATCATAATAATAATACATTCATATATAAATAGTAGTAAAAATGTAGATTTTTTAATTATTTAGCGTATGCATAAACTATTATCATTATTGATCATTCAATTTTTCCTTTCTATTGATTGATAATTGATGGCAATTATTGGGTTAATCAATAACAGGTGATATTGTTAATAATGAAAGTATTGAAAGTCATACTCATTGACGTCATTGAGTGTGATTGAGAATGGTTGATTTGACTAACTTGTACTTGTTTGTATTGAAATGAAAGAGAAAATAAAAGTAGATTATAAGTACCACCATTTCCGTTTTTGGTAATTTCTGATTGGATGAATAGTGCGGAAATTCCCATAAGGGCAACCAATAACATCACAAGACTCGAACGAAACAAGATGGTGACAGAGTAAAACAACAAAATGAAAATATTAACAATAAACACATAATATAAAGACCTAACAAAATGCCAGGACTTATATTGTTTCGAAGACGATGGGCGATTTCGAGTGATGATTTTGTTTATCCGAGTATTGGAGATGGTTTAATCAGGATTGCATGGTATTTTATAATAATTAAATATAGGACTAGTGACTTCACTTCACTACTGACTACTGTCTTCACTTCACCCTTTCACTTTCATTTCACTCACATTCACTGGAATTCAATTTCATAACTATACTTTTAGTATAGGCTTAATTTTAAAATGGGTACTTCGGTAAAAAATTTAAAAAAATTAATCAAGTATTACTGCTGTATAGATCGAACTTCAAATTTTAAAAAATGAAACCAAAATCAACTTTTTTATTTCTAGCTATTCTAGCTTCAGTATTTTTTGAGTTGAGCTAGCCTATGAGTACTATGACGCCTATGAAATGAAAATTTTATTTGTAATTTTTTACCATGGCATGGACTTGGACTACACCTCCACATTTTGTGATCCCATTCCGCTCAACCCGTCACATGCAATAATGGCAATAACAATTTAAATGATAATTTAATTTTATACAACTTTTATTTTCTGTTAATTTATTAAAAGTTTTGGTAAAGTTTGAAATTAATTTTAACACTATTATGCTATTATAAATAAATTGTAACTTATCTATGATCTATGTAATGTACATCATCAGTAAATTTAATAACTGCGATAGATTTTCTGTTTACCAAGTCTACCCTCCATTATATATAAACAAAGTCAACGTTGTAAGGCATCCCCCTAAAATAATACTTTCAACTTTTGCACATGATTAATTAATCAAAACTTTCCCTGACCAAAGATTTAAAAGCTTTTGAACACGACAGTCTCTTATGATTGAAACTATGAGAATAATACTTTAGTAGTGTAGCACATCCAAGCGATTGTGAATGGTTGCCTATGACAAGGTTTTGCAAATGGCAGGTTATGATCATTTACAATATAGACTCTACAGGCTTTTTAAACCTCAAATTAAAATATTCTTGTTTAAATGCCTTCTAAGTTCACTCTAAATCATAAGTTATCGTAATATTTTGATATAATAGTGGTAAGAATTGAATATTTCTTAAGTATCAGAATATTTCGCCATTAAAAAGGGGGCATGGACACATCCAAACGAAGTTGGGTACAGCAACCTACATGGTATACTGCTTAAACTGAGAATCATGTCATTTCTCGTAAAACACATATTGCTATGAAAATTTGCACACTAGTAGATCAATAAATACCAGAGAGACATAATAAATATGAAAAGGGTGTATATTTAATTTGGACTCAATCTTAATGATGTCAGTTGTCTTATATTCACCAAGGATTTTCTCAAAGTTGACTGATTGTAAATGGATAAGAAATCGATTATAAAATAGGCCAGATGTCCTCCAAAGTGAAAGGCTGGAAAAAGAACACAATTGTGGACAAAAAAAAAATTAAAAACTCAGATTTTCGTGTGTTGACGCCCATTTCCCATACACATTTTTTAGTAGTCTCCCTTGCTTTACCGAAGTTCCTAATTTATACTATTAATATTAAATAATTGTAATAAATTAAAATTAAATAGAGTATTAGTTCTATTATTATAAATAGTCACTACTTTTAAGTTTTAATAAAATTAAGACCAGATGAACAAAAATTGATACTCTATAAATGTAAATAAAAAATAATAACATAAAATAAATTAAACCTACCTATATTAAACTTTTAACTTAATTCTGGTAAATGGGTTTTGCCAAGAGTTGACTCACCCTAAGTTACATCACTTTGGGGAATCACAACACTGGACATAGGGTGACAGGACCAACAGTTGGACCTGAATGATGTGTGTCATAAATTTCCCATTCTTCACATCTGAAAATCAATACAATTAATAAAAAATAAATTAAAATTAAATTTCCCTTTAGTTTTTAAAGTTCAAGATTCAAATTCACAAGAAATAAAAAGAGAAATGCATCCTCCTTGATACGCCAAGATGAACACTGGAAAAAAGAGAAGTTGATGGTTAAAATGACTTTCTCTTGATATGTTGAAGAATGAAGTACAGTCCATAGAAAAAAAAAGGACAAAAGAACTGGCACTGTAAAAAAAGCTCAAAAACTACTAAAGTAGAAAGCTGCTTCTGGTTTAATTTTTTATGGGAGGTTTGCTCTATGGATTCCAATATTGAAAAAAAAAAAGTTAAATTCATTAGATTTTTGCATTGATTAGAACGTTTAATTTATTGTGCCTTTGATTGGTTTATGTATTAGAATATTTAATTTACTGCGCCTTTGATTGGTTTATTTATTGGAATATTTAATTTACTGTGCCTTTGATTGGTTAATTTATTAGAATGTTTAATTTGCTGTGCCTCTGTCTGACTTCAGGCTGACAACACTTATAATCATTCTTGCTGTTCATAAAAATGGCTTCAACTGCACCTATGGACATGACCTGAAAGTGTTCTATATTGGAACTATTGTACTCAATGGCATTGGGCTAATAACTGCAATTATTTTAGCTCATATCAGCATGAAGGTAAATGGTTTCATCATAATTATATGAAGGTAAATCTTTACATCATAGTTATAATAAATTTTAATGCATTTGATTTGTCTTAAATTTGACTGAACAATTAAATGTATATGTATTTTTTAATATTTCAACTTAATTATATAATAAAATGTTTATTTGCACCTCGTCATTTGGAAAGTAACCGTACAATTTTTTCTCTCCAGGGTACAATGAAAGACAATTGGCCACGCAGGAACATTAACTACGTTATATATGTGAAACTTTTCATGTTTGTACCAGAAGCTTGCTGGGTCTGCGTGTCAACATACTGGGCTTTTGCACATGATTATGAATGTTATTGGTCAGTATACTGGACTGCTAGGGGAGCTGTTTTATGTTCATGGATCATTGGTTTCTTGACATTTGTAGCTATTGCTGTTGCATTTGACCCACTAGGAACCATAATTAGGTCCAGCTCAACAACATCAGCTTCTGAAACACTTGAGTTTGCTGGGAATAAAACTGCCAGTCAAATATGGGAGAGAAGGTTGGTTTTAGTTGAGTCACATTGATTCAATATAAATATTCTATATGTTCCAACTAGGGGTTGCACTGATTTATCAAACCAATCAGCGTAACTGGCTAATGAAAAGATTAATAGGTATCAGTTTTTTTTACTTCTTCTGGCTAATGTGCCTTTGAGTTTTACAAAATCAACCCAGATGTTAGATGTTGGATGCACATCTGCTTGAGGCTAAAATTTGTCAATTTTTTCGCATGTGGTTTCAGAACATATTTTTGCAGTTCTTTAGGTCTTTTTTTTTCTATCATTTTTTTTTCCACTGTGTGATTGTCCTTTCTTAAGTATTTTTTTCTTACATTGTTGGTGTTTGCACAATGAAGACAAACATGTTACATTTGTTCAAGAGCTGGGAAGTCTTTGACCCTCTTGAGAATTAGCCTTTCTTTGTCTGTCTGTACCAAGAATAGGGAGCCCTTTTCACAAGCCCTGCAATTACTTAGCGAAAAAACTTAATAAAAAATGAACTAATAACTTTACAAATATTAAACAATTTTGGTTGTTGTAGGGAATTGAATGAACTAATACAATCTCTATGAATCAAAGTAAAAAATTTAATATGCAAATGAGATATCTGGATTTGCAAAATTTATGTATGTAATTATGTTTTTACACTTAAAATAAACATGTCTTACTTGCAGAGTTTTGTTTAATTTTCTTATTGTTGATCCCAAATGAGTCTAACAAACGGAATGAAATTCAATGTGAAAACTTCATAAAATATTCCACAAGGGGGGTTTGCTTATCCATTTAGAATATTCTTCATAATTATATCTCACATTCTTCATATTCATTTGCAATATGTAAAAAAATCCTATTTGGTTGCATTAAAAACATTGCCTCTAAATTCTTTTCAATCCAACTCAATTATTCCAGATGCCGCATATTATGCTGTTGTATACGAAACAACGAAGACACTGCTCCAGCCTTCACAGATGTCGGGAAAATTGTGGCTGAGTTTTTTAAGGTTAGATCATTTTGTTTTGTTGATCTAAAAACCATTTCTTCTTTCACTCTCATCCAAACCATTTCTTTTTTCACTCTCATCCAAACCATTTCTTCTTTCACTCTCACCCAAACTATTTCTTCTTTCACTCTCATCCAAACCATTTCTTTTTTTCACTCTCATCCAAACCATTCTTCTTTCACTCTCATCCAAACCATTTCTTCTTTCATTCTCATCCAAACTATTTCTTCTTTCACTCTCATCCAAACCATTTCTTTTTTTCACTCTCATCCAAACCATTCTTCTTTCACCCTCATCCAAACCATTTCTTCTTTCACTCTCACCCAAACCATTTCTTCTTTCACTCTCATCCAAACCATTTCTTCTTTCACTCTCATCCAAACCATTTCTTCTTTCACTCTCCAGCAAACCATTTCTTCTTTCACTCTCATCCAAACCATTTCTTCTTTCACTCTCATCCAAACCATTTCTTCTTTCACTCTCATCCAAACCATTTCTTCTTTCACTCTCATCCAAACCATTTCATCTTTCACTCTCATCCAAACCATTTCTTCTTTCACTCTCACCCAAACTATTTCTTCTTTCACTCTCATCCAAACCATTTCTTTTTTTCACTCTCATCCAAACCATTCTTCTTTCACTCTCATCCAAACCATTTCTTCTTTCACTCTCATCCAAACTATTTCTTCTTTCACTCTCATCCAAACCATTTCTTTTTTTCACTCTCATCCAAACCATTTCTTCTTTCACCCTCATCCAAACCATTTCTTCTTTCACTCTCACCCAAACCATTCTTC